GTTCTTTTTTTTGTAGATGAAAAGAAGTTATTACTCATGCTATCTATAATACTCTCTATTTTTTCAATGTGCCCTTGAATATAAGACTCTCTTTCCTTATATATCCTAAGGGCAGACTCCAAAGCTAGGATGTTAAAACATATCCAAATAAAAGATAAGATGCCAACAGGTTGGCATTTGGACTAAATCAGCCAATAAAGCCAAACATTAGTAACAATCACTAAATCAAGCAACCAATAGTAACATCCGAGGGTCTATTTTTTAATTGTATATTGCAGTTTGATCCATTGTTGATATTCAAATTTGTTTGATTGCCCAATTCTCTATTTCACTGGTTTGTTGGGTATTTTTACGGATACCAGTAAAGGAAACAAAGTAGAAAGTCAACCTATCAAATCCCAGTTTTGTCCAAACCAACTAACAATTTATTGGTAGAGAAGTCATTAACATTGGTTCTAAATTTGTGTCAATGTATGTGTATTGTAATGATGACTTACCCCGATTAAAAGGTTGCATTTCATGACTCCCAAAAGAGGATTTCTGATGTGTTTGTGGAGAAGCCTGGTCCGAAATGCCACTAGATCCATCTGTCACCTAATTTATACAATAAAGTTTACATGAGTATGCATAAATTTAGAAAATGATGACATATGATAAATACATCATTTAGATAAATATGTTTACTTGTAGTTATACCTGCAAACCACTAGAGCACTGTCTCTGTCTCATCAAAAATGCTACTTGCTCTTTTGAAGAGTATATTACAGCATCTTGAGCTTGTAACTAAATACTTTGAGTTTGCAACTAATCACCTTGAGTTTTTACTTGTTCCTTCAAGATTATATAAGCCATAGGAAAAGCTCATATACACCTCACAAGATTATTTTCTTTGTCTACTTCAGTAACTCTATATATCAGAGGGTCTCTAATTTGAGGGTCTTTGAGGGTTGAGGAGTTATTTACACAAAACAGAGGCCCCTAAAAACTTGCACGTGAGAACTCAACCACTTATTATTGCCCAAACAAAAGCCCTTACGGACTGTCGAAAGTATTTAAAATTTGAATGCGTGAATAGAAATATGTCCTTTCATTTATCCTGTTTTCAAAAACACAATGTCACAAATACCAACATATGTTCTCCTCTTTGAAAGCTGATGCGCTTATCGCATCTGATTTGGCTAATTTAGGTTATATTTATGTTAACATAGGTATTCATCCACATGATCTATTTGTTTTGTTCCCCTTCACAACTTGGTTCTGTTTCATACTAAATAATTTTTTTTTCAAATCAGATGATTGTTGGTCGGCTCAAGAACGAAATTTAGAGGTCAATTTAAATCCTACTACATTTATGCCATGTTTTCCATCTAGTTTAATTGGTTAAGTCTGTTGGTGGTGGTACTAAAGACTTGGCATTGGAATAGTCAATCCCATTTTTATAGCTACCTTCTCATTGTGTCCATCACCATTGGACTTAAAAAGAACTGAACAATATACCTTCCAGTCTATTAGGAAAATATTGTTTCTTTCTTTAAAACATAGTAATGTTTACTTTGGATCTAAAGGCCACTTTTAATATAAATATATTGGTTGTTAAGCGCAGAAATAGTAGAAACTGAACTTTAAAGCCAGGCATGCAATAAATTTTTTTTCATTGTAAATTGGTCTTGCAGGGTCAACTAGTCCCCGAATAAAAAAGTTTTCCATTGGGAATTAAATCTGTGGTTGACTATGTACACGATAAATGCCTCAAGCTTGGAATTTATTCTGATGCTGGGTAAAATTAATTTCATAATATTGTGTTGGAGGATTATAAATTAGATCACAATTAAATTATTATCTTGTTTTTATTTCTCAAGTGTTCTATACTGCTGTCACAATCTGATTTCTCTCTTCTGACTTATTTAACTTAATTTCTAGGATGTCTACATGTCAAGTTCGACCTAGATCAGTTTACCATGAAAATGATGAGGCAGAGCTTTTTGCCTCTTAGGTTAGTTTGTGACATATCTTATCAAATATAAGAAGAAGAAAAAGTCAAGCGTTTTCCTTAGCCCCTGTGGATTAAGGATGCCATATAATTAAATATCGTGGGTTTGGAATGGTCAAGGGTTTGGAAATTGGATTGAGGGTTTGAGCATAGATAGTGGTCAGAATGATTGAGCTTTGATGCCGTTTTGAATTGGAAATTTAAGGAGATAAGTTGCTGGATTTTCTGGGCTGTATGGTAAATCTGAAATTTTTTGGACAATAGAGAAATCTTAATTAGAATATAAAGGTTAGGGTTTGGATCAAGGTCTAAGGGTTTTAAGGACTCATTTAAGGTGACAGAAAAGATAGATGTGGTTGTTATTTATGCAGAGGCTTTCTAGAATTTAAACATATAAGAAGAACCTTTGAATCTCATTGAGATTTTCAAGAAATCTCATCTAGAAGGATTCAATGAAGTCTCACCACCACTAAAAATGTAAGAGAAATTTCTAGAAATTTCATTATCTAAACTTGTATCGTTGTCTCTGCAAGCTAACTTTATATAGAAGTATAAGACTATCTTGCTAGACTAAGAATTTCCAGAAATTCCAACAAGCATTTCAAAGACAAAGTAGAACTTGAAGGTATTCCAAATAAGGGAAGGGCGCAATAATTCTCATAAACAACCACCTAAATAGTTCATTCTCTAAATTAAAAAGAAAGTTACCAAATTACCTCCAAATCTGGAAAAAAAAAAATTAAAAAATAATAATAGATAAAAAAAAATACCCATATAAATGTGTCTTAAAATTATCAGGAATTCATGAATTTAGATGAAAATTCTGCCAGTTTACCACATTATCTATCCATGAGCTTCATTAATTGATATTTTATGATGTGTTATTAAGGGTGTGGATTTTTTGAAGTATGACAACTGTTACAATCTAGGAATCAAACCACAGGTGCGGACATACATGACTATGCTCACCTCTCTTAGACGGGTGCAGACTTCTTTCTTCGCAAGATATGATATACCTATATTCGCAAACTAAAAGTTAAAACCAGAGAGAGCATAAAAATAAGAACATCAAGATGCTGATTTTCCAGTCCAAGTTTTTAATAGCTATATTTAACAACAAACATTAAAAAAAAACATCAGTTATCTATTAGAAGAAATATAGATGTCCTCATTAATAACCCATACAATATACTTCAATGGCAACTAGACAAGTGTCCTGACAAACCCACACAAATTTGAGATCTTTACGAAGTCAAAGAGATCCAAATTCCAAAAAGGCAGTGTTTCCTATGAGATAGCATTAATAATTTCATATAAACTGAACTTTCAGGAAAAGGTGAGCTGGTGGTTGGAACACCCACATGTTCACACATGGCCACACCCACAAACAATCAGAGACTGCTTTCTAGCTTTCTTTTTGTCTTAGAATTCTCTGCATCTCTTATATTAGCGTTCAATGTGTTTCACATTTTCCTCCCTTGTACATGGTGTTAATTGTTAATAAGTTATTTTCTGATTTGAAGAATTATTGATTTGCAGGGAATTTCTAATTGGGAATGGTAAGGCCTTGTAATTTATCTACAGCAGCAAGCAGTTTAAAAAGAAATGGGGTCTGGCAGCAGGAACTACTACTACAAATGTGTATTGTAGTTTACAGTTTAAGAATACAATGAAGACAATGCAGTCCCCATGTTGTAGCCCTGATGAAGTGATATTTGGTCCTGACTTCCATCAATCCTTATACTACCATCTTCTAAGTGGACTCATTTACTAGGACGAAGTCCAAGTTGTGTCTTCTACATTTGCCCACAGCATTGTACATTCCTTCCAAACCTTTGAACAAGTTTGGGAGAAACTCTGTACTGACATCCGTGAAGAGGTTCTCAGCAGCCGAATCACCGTCCCATCTATTCAAACAGCTATGTCGAAATTGCCAAAGCCAAACCCTGAATTAGCTGATATGATCTATAAAAAGTGTTTGGGATTAAGTAATTGGTACAGATTAATACCAGAGCTATTTCCTAAAGCCAAGCACGTCTATGGAATCATGATTGGTTCAATAGGACATTATTTGAAAAAACTGAGGCACTATGCAGGCGAGCTACCACTGTTAAGTGCTGATTATGGATCGTTTGAAGGTTGGATCGGAGCAAATGTGAACCCAAAATTGCCTCATGAGCAGGTCACTTTTGATGTGCTTCCTAATATTGGGTATTTTGAATTTATTCCATGTATAATTCCCTTGAAACTAGAAAACTTGCATCTTTGTTTATTTATCTCATGGTTCAATGCACGAACGCTTTCATAAACAAGAAACAATCACAATAAAAAGAGGCAACAATTTTTTCTAATCACATTATTAAGCCAACAAAACATTACATACTGTGCATTAAATTCATAGACAACAATTTTCTCAACACAAAAAAAAAAAGAAAAAAGAAAAAAAAAAGAAGAGCGAGAGAGAAAAACAGAACAAACCAATAAACCAAAATGTAGAGCACTATTACTCCATTGTGACATTTTATCAAACACCTAGCATACATAATGAATCCTCAAGCATGAGATTTTATTGTGTAGCATCAACAACAATCCATGCACTTCACTAATTATATTGGTGAAAATATGAATATCATAGATGATCAAAAATCAAAATACCAAACATGTTAATCAATATATTTTCTAAATTATTTTTCCAAATCAAAATCATTCAAGATGTTCATGAAATCCTTCAAAGTAGGGAAGTTTTGGAGATATTAGAAGCAATGAATGGAATGGCAAGTCTTAGCTTAACAATGAATTTCATTGACCCAAACTTGACCGAAGATAGTAAGGGAAAAAGAGAAACAGAGACAGTAGAAGAAAGAAAGAAGGGTAGAGAGATAAACCGAGAGAGAAGAAGAAAGAGAGGGATAGAGAAAGAGAAATAAAGAGAGAAAACTGACCTTGAAATCACAGTGATGCTATAGCTTAATGTCGTCAATACGCCGCGGGGAGGATGAAGTCTGATATTGAGGTATGATTCTTTGATATCCATCGATTTCCATCGATTTTTGATGATTTTGATCTGGAAAATCTTGTTCTCCCTCTTGACTTGAGCATATATCTTCGAGATTGTTCGAATCCCTCTGATCTAAATCGATCTAGGGCTCAAGGTAAGGGTTTTCTGATCTAGATTTGCTAAGTTCACTCAAGATCTATAAAATCTCAGGGCTAAAACAATGATTTGGAGTATATTTAAGTTGATGTATGGAAATTCATATGCTTTTTTTTCCCCTGATCTAGCTTATTTCTGGAATTTTTGCCTTTGTTTTGTGTTCTTTCTCTTCATTTGTGGTCTCTTGCTCTTTCTAGTCCATGCAATGGGATACATGCAAAGCTCTTGTCATTCATGGCGATATACTTTGTCTGGGGTTTCGAGTGCGGTGTCAGTGTCTCCGGACAAGCAACGGCTAATATAATCGAGATGGGTCATAAGTAGAAGTTAAAGATCTAGAGACCTAGATCTTATCCTCAAATCTGCTATCTCTCCGATCAGAACTGCAAATATCAGGTCCAAATTCTATTTGTTACTCTCTTCTAGTTTTGATTGGATTTATGTTTAAGCCACAAGTCTATTTTGAGCAGTACGAAACAATTGAACAAACACTTCGGTACAGGAAGCATATTTTGATATAGGACTAGTTATATACTGCAGAGAGGAGTGCCTTTATGGTTAATCTTATTTGAACTATGTATTGTCTTTAAATAAGCTCATATCAATAAGTTGTAAGGATAATATCATAATATATATACAGCTGGCCATGGGAAATGAGAGAATCGTTCCTTTCATTAGCATCACTTTTGTTATGATATTTCTTTCTTTCAATTGCTGATTAGTTTTAGAATTATTCATCTTCTTTTGGGTAATGAGTTACTAATATGTTTGGATTTTAATAAATGCTTCAACTTTTTCGTCTGGTTGTAATCCATGCAATAACTTGAACTAGAAGATTTACTCGTAATTATTGAACTTAACTTAGTTGATGAAATTTGAAATTACGGTGCCCCACCCGTCATATGGGATGGCAATTGTTTCGTACTTCTCTTTCTTGATTTGTACCAAAGTGTTTGTTCAATGATAAAACTTTGAGATGCCATTCCTTCATAATGAGGTATGTAATAATGTAACTTCTGTTTTGACAATTTTGTTCTTGTTATTGTTCAGGAGATTATTTTATGGCAGCTTTAACACTTGTAACTTCTATGAGTTATTGCAATACTCTCTTACATGATTTGCAACATATGCCACACATTTCCTTTTGGAATCATTAGATTATATATATAATTTGGGGAACATATTTCTTTAATTGATTTGGGGGAGTGATTTTTTATTTTTTGCTACTAATCGAAGAAGAAAGTGGGGTGTTACAACTTTGGTGTATCTGTGTTCTTTGAGATTTGACCTACTTACAGGGATATGGAGAACCTTGATGTATACCACTCTATTGTTTCTTCAACTAAAATTGATTTTACGATGGATGTCTCTGTCATGGAGATTCGATGTATTATGCTTCTTTTTTTCATATAAGTTAATAAAAAGATCTTCCTTTTTCAGTGTTGTGGATTTGGCTCAGCTAAATGATTCTCCAAACTGTGCTGAATATACTGTGAATGCATTTTTGTTATCAATGAGGAGAAAACAAGGTTCTCAAGTCAAAAACAGCTTTTCAGCCATTCCAATTTTGTGTTACCTTCCAAAATTTAACAGAGTTTAAATGAATGAAATATGAAATTCTATGTAATAGAATTGTTTGTTTTATTATGATTAAGTACTCGATCTAAGTTCCTTGATGGTATTCAAAGGATTCCGCAAGACCGCCACATTCTGTGTTTGTTCATGCTATTCAGATATAAATGTATTCTTAATATGAGTCCCATCAATAATGAAACCAAACACATGTGCCTTAAGCTTTTCCTCGTGATTTGAGTTACATGTATGAGTTTTGCACATCTGAAAATGTTTTTGTCACAGGGAAAAGTAGATTTAGTAAACTTCTGCAGTCCAGAAAATGAGCTGTATGTTTACTTCATATTTATTTTTGTGATTGTGATGGTATGCTTTCTAATAACATGGCTGGTGATGAGCTTGAGAAATATTTGTAAAGTCAATTGAAACAGGACCTTTGAAATTTGTTCGAATAGCATTTGGAGGTGAATTTTCCATTTATATTTTAACATAATTGAATGGAGTCTATTTCATTGCTTGTACATCTTAATTTAGAACTTCTATAATGATTGTTTTCTTTAACTATCCTAGGTGGATGACAACCTCCCCCTGGGTCTGCTTATTGGATCCTTTGTGCAATATAATTGATGGACTACATTTGCTAATGACATTTTATAGATAGATTCTGTGGACCTTCACATACTAAATCCAAAGTACCACTGGCCATTTGAGTATCTTTTGTTCTAGGATATTTTGAAGTGAGAAAGCAGCTGCATCTGGAGTATAAGGTAATCAGTTGATTCCTTTTTCCAGTTTTTTGTTTTTGTTTTTGTGTTTTTTTTATCTTCCTTAGGTATGTATAATCACTAGATGATTTGCTATAATCACTAGTCGGTTTTGTTTGGTCCAGCATGCTGATTTTTGTGTGACTAGCTACCCAACATGGGTCTGACTGGTGTTTGTGTTGGATCCAGCAGGTTGATTAACCTGGCTACCTTACTGATGTGGATCGTCACTGCAGTATTTTCGAACTCCTAGTGATATGTGAAATACCTTATAGCATATTGTTGTTGGAATTGAGTAAATTGAATCATATTACAAAGATGATAGACAAGATGAACATTGACAAACTCTCTGTACGTAAAGATTTTGACCCAATTATTGCTGAAAATCTTATAATTACTTGTACCCTTGTGTATGCTATGAAGCTGCTTTATTCCTATTCTTTTCTCCATAATCCCCACCTTATAGTGTCTCTCGCCTTTCAATCTGTGGAGGATTTTCGCAATGCAGCAATCAGCTGAATGCAAGCTGACATGACATCTCTTTTTGGAACTATAACTTACCAGTCAAATCAATATTCGAGTATCTTCTTGGGCAAGGTTATTTTTGTTTCTTTCCTTTACATTAGGTGTGGATTTCATCCTAACGATTAACTTGGTTTTGGAATAAAGTGGCCCCTTTTTGATAAGTAAAACTTTACTTTGATAGTTGATCTGATCCTTCTTAACATTATGTGCAGCCTTTTTCCGCAAAGTTTCAAGGAGGAAGTACATAGAGCCAGCTCAAAGATTATAGGTTATGTTTCTTCCTTCAGTGCACACAAATAGTCACAGAAGCCGAATTTTGTGTTTCCCTCCTAAGGTATGCATTGAGCTTTCATTCAGCCTCTGATGCCATTTTCCGAAGCTCAAATAGTGTAGAATGAAAAACAAGTGAGCTAGAGGTCTGTACTGTCAATTTTTTAGTTTCTTACTAACTCTGGTTGCAAATTATCTTCTTAAAGTTGAGGTAATGTGCAAAAGAGACTGATAGATGTTAGTGACGAGTGGTAGTGGATGTAATAGAAATGGTAGATGATCATTACAAGAGACAAACTAGACTATCATTTGATTAATATTTGAATTTTTTTTGGAATTTTTTTTTTTTTGGATTAATAGGCTTGTTCCTCCGTCTCCTTGAGTTCCAAAGACAGCTCAATGCAACAAAAGTTGGGTGAGCAGTTGATTAACATCTAAAGAACAACGTTGGAAACACATACAATATTAGAGGTATAAAAAATTAACCAAACTACTTAAGTTCAATTTGTGTTCATCTTGTTCGAGATAGGTTTGAACATGTTCTAAAACTCGTTAATTTTCTTGTTTGGGTAAGCTACCTTCATTTGGTACTGTTAATTCTGTTGAATTGCATGCATTTAAATTCATGAATGTAATGAAACATTAGTGAATTTTTATCAGAAATGTTGGAAAAGGCAATGGCAACTCCTCCAACTGTTTCACCAATATGGTGTTCCCCATTACTTGAGGTATATCTATGTATGAACAAACACAGACCTCTGCATATAATTTCTCTCTGGTGCCAAGAAGAAAAATTGATTAGTTGAGCTTCTGGCAAGTTATAAACTGATAATCTAAACATTGTACTTAAAAGTATGCGCAGGATTTTTTTTTCACTAAATTCTTCTATTTTGTTATCCTAATACACTTCTAATTATTGGATTATACATCGAGATTCATGTCTCAAGATTTTCATGTGATCCAATGATTCAGGATGTAATAGGACAAAGACAGGAATTTGAATACAGAGAATCCATGGTATGTTGAATTTACATGAAGTTTTGACCCGATATCATGTTAATCAACTTGAGCTGATTTGAGTTGTTTGCTTCAACGGGGTCCATTGATTGGTTGTTATGATGACCTGTCTGTAATACATATTGTTTAATGGTTATTAGATTTGTGATTTTATGATTGTGATTTATTTATTTTTGGTTACAATTGTTCTGTATACAGTTTAAAATTACTGCTAATCTTCTACTCGTTGCTATTGGGTTTTAGCTTTTTCTTGTTAGCTTCTAAAAATCTTATTAGTCGAACAACCTGGATTAGATGTTTAATTCTTCCATGTCATGGAAGACTTGGTTGCTAGGAGAAATAAATCATGTTTCTTAATTGTGTACTTTGATCATAATACTATGTTCTGTTGCCATTTCCATTTTAAGTATTCATTGTTATGTAACACTCTGCTTGGTTGCAGAAAATTAGACGACATTCTGACAGTAATTTCATTCCAATGAAAATCATGAAATTGAATTTTCCAAATGCTAGAGATTTACATACATGTTCCTCCATGTTTTAATAAATCGTTGCACCAATAACTGTCAATTGATGTTGCAAACTTTGTCTATCTTGTCTTCCTCTCCATATCTTTTTGTCTTTTGGGTTAATTTTTATTTCTTTGTTTAGTTTTTAACAGGAAAAATGCCATTGATAGTTTTATTGTAAGCAGGGGGAACTAAAGCTTGTTGGAAGCCTTCAACCTGCTTCCCAGTGCTATAAAGAGCACATGATTGGTTTTGCAATTGTGTTGTACTCCCCCCCCTTTCTTTTCTTTTTTTTATGCCAGACAGATTCATAGATAGCTTGATTTTTTTTGTGCCGATCTTTTTTTTGCTGAGCTGTAAAGAGTACATGATTGATTTGTTTATTTTTTTTCTTCTTTTTTTGTGCCGATTTGTTTTGTAATAATTTTCAACTTACTATTGGGCATTAGTTTAACTTTATTTCATCTTGGAATTGAAATATTTTTGCATATTAACAAGCATGGATTGATCCAATATAATGTTTACCTAAATTAAGTCAATATATTGAATATTTTTTGTCTTTATTGCAAGTATTTTTTTAATTAAATCACAGAATTAGCATAATTTCAAAAAAAATAAAAAATAAAAAATAAAAAATGAAAAATGAAAAATGGAGCTATGACGGCGTTTTTAAGCGTCATTATAGAATAATATTAACGGTTATATTTTTAAAATAAAAAGATTTATCACGACGTTTTTAAAACGTCGCTAAAAATTGCGTGACGTATTTGTATAGTTGTGCAGCATATTTAGCGGCGTTTTAAAAAACGCCGTCTAAACTAAATATAGCGACGCTTTTAACGCGCCATAAAGCTATAGCGACGACCGCATCTTCGACGTTTGGAATTAAACGCCACAAAAATAATTAGCGGCGTTTTTGATGGATATAGCGGCGTTTTTTAAACGCCGCTAAAAGCCTAATTTCCAGCAGTGAATGGGATAGAAATAAACGGGGTGGAAAATTATTACAATACTTTAAATAAATTATTACAGACCAAAGAGAGGTGAATAAAAAACAATCCTCACAAACACTCGAAATAAAAATAAAATAAAGAAGTGTAAACAACTAATCAAAAAGAACACTCTCCCTCATGCTCAAGGGGGTCAATTTGTGCCACATTCTTCCCACGTATATCAAGAGCTGGAAAGATGACCTCGCCCTCTGGTCCCTTTTATTTTGTTGTATCACACCCCTTTTATTTGGAATTTTCTTTCTTCATCTGTAAGCCATCTTCTGATGATGACTCTGGTTGGTATCTAGCTGTTCTATACTTCTGTAGGTGGCTCTTCACATGATAAATTGTCAAACCTTCAACTTTCATTACCTTCAGTACACCTTTACTAGTAGTTTTTTCACTGCCACCAAGCTTATTGACTGCTTTAACAAAGGCCTCATGAAGTTCAGGTGTCCAATGCATGCGTATTTTGGTTGGACCACCACTTGCTGAGGATGTAGAGTTGAGAGCACGAGTAGACTCCTCAAATGGAACTGAAATATGCGTAAGTATTTCGGATTGTTGTTCTGAATAATTGGTAATTTCTTTTATTAATACCTTTAGCTCAGGATCTTCACTTGAATGCTTTTCAGGAGGTGCAAACACTACAAGAAAAATCACCTTTGGCGACTAAATTTTTAGTCGCGAAAAGTCCATTTTTAGTCGCTAAAAGTTGACTTTTAGTTTCCTCGACTAAAATATTTAGTCGCCACTTTTGTCGCGAATACATGGTCGCTGGAGGTATTGGCGACTAAAACTTTTTTAGTCGGCAAAAAACAGGTCTTTAGCGACCAAAGTTTTAGTTGCCAATAGTGATTTACACTTTTCAAAATCATACATTTAGCGACTAATTCTTTAGTCGCCAATACTCACTGAATCGCCGATTAAACCGTTTAGTCGCCAAAATAAAGACTTTTGGCGACTAAAATTATTAGTCGCCAAAGGTGCTTTTGTGAGAAAAAAAAACCAACTTTTTTGGTTTTTCTAAGATTCAAACCACCAACTTGTCCCACATTCTAAACCTTTAGCAACAAACTCCCTCCACTATGCTACTACAACACCACATGAATATATATGCAATATATATTATTTATATAGTATATTGACCCGTATTAATATAAAACTATATATATAAATATAATTATTTTTATTCAATATAATTTATGTAAAAAATAAATTATAATAGTGATACATTATGGTCATGTTTGATTCACAAAACTAATACTGAAGTATTAATAAAACAAATTTAATAGGATTATTAATACTTCACTATTAGTTTTGTGAATTAAATATGACCTTAAATTAGTATGGTATTCACTATCCAATTGGATTAATATCCATTGGATTAATAATCACACTCTATCTCATTATTAATAATCCTACAAATTTGTTGGATTAATAATCCTAAACTAAAATATTAAAACAAATATAGAATAATTGAGTCCACGGATTAATAATTTCAATCTCATCCTCTAATCCACCCAACCAAACATGCCCTGTGTGTCTACTCCACAGCGGTCTACACTGATTTTGATAAACTGTAACTTGATTATAGAAGTTTAAGGCAATTAATGTTGTGGTGGATGTACCATAAATTAGGAACACCTACCTGTGTCAGTATCTGGGGCACTTTTTCACTCTATTATGTTTCAGGGTGCTGAACCCTATTTTCTCACACACTGCCCCATTTGGATGGAGTGATTTGATGAGAAATGATAAGAATGATGAGAAACAAAACTCTTTCTCATGTCTGGTTTACAAAATAGGTAAGAAAGGGTGAGAAATGGAGAGAGAGAACTCTCTTACTATGCCATTTTCATTTATCACCAAAAATGGTGAGAAACCAACTGATTGGTTGTATGTTTTTTTATAAATCAAGATTACCCATCAAAATATGAAGGAAGAAAAAGAAATCTCACACATATACCTATTTCACATGTTTTCCTTTCTTACTCATCCAAACATGATAGTCAGAAAACACAAATCATTTCTTTTCTTTTCTCTCACCTAGATCCAAATGTAGTGTTAAAGGATGCAATGATCACAGATTCAGTGTATTTTTTTTTTTTGTCCTCACACATCCACTATGCCATCACACAAGCAGCTCACAATTTGGAGATGGCATAATTCACTGCACCCCCAAAATGCGGAATAACATGCTCCATATATCTCTATTCACTGTGCCCTTGGAGACACCCCACGGCTTAGGCCACATGCCCCAATAATGAGACTCAAGGTCAAGTCTCTGTAACTTGGCTAGAAAAGAAAAAAAAAAAACTCGGTTTTTGATAATTGGGTATCTGGGTAAACCTAAGTACTAAAGGTTCATCTTGTTTGATCTGTGTTCCCGCCACAACCTGGTAAAGAAATCAAATTGATTAATATGAGCAGTAGTAGTAGACTAGAAGTAAAAGAAGCACAAGTATTTTTTTTTTTTTATGTTCTGCCGAATGAAAATTGGTTAATATTCAAGAGAGAGAGAGAGAGAGAGAGAGAGAGATTGTCGAGGCTGCTATGGTGGCTGTTGCTGGTGGGTAAGAAAACCACAAGACCATTTCCTTTTCCTTGTAGCTGTCATGGATCAGTATTTTAACCAATAACCAGTGCAGGCCACCGTGAGGAGCCACGAAGCCTAACCCATATTAGATCCCCCAAGACAACCTCCTCACTTAAGTGTTTGATTGCAGGTTCATCCCCATCTCTCTTGTGCTCATTGAAAAACAATGTCCCATAGAGAGAGAGAGGTCGAACCAAAAAAAATCCGTGTGAGCATTGAGCAAAAACCAAGGCTAAAGATTCTAATCAACCATCTTTTGTCCCTCAATTTGTCCCTCTCTATATCTCAGCCTTTTTCTCCCTCTACTCTCCCTTTTCTTTTTTTCTTTTTTTTCCACACATATTCTCCACCACCCTTTCTTAGCTTTTCTCTCTAAAAAAATAATATCTTCCACCTTCCTCCTGACCATGCATGCTCCCTCCTTTTCATATTCGGTGCTCACCACATATATTCCCACTCAAAACCTTATCATTCTTACTGACCCCAATTATTGTTTTTTTTAATCTATCATTTTCCATCCACCCGTCTTCATAATTGTATTCTCCAGCACCAACATAATCATATCTTCTCTTTTATTTTCTTCCACCCAAAAACATTTTCATAATGATATTCTCTGAAGAAAAGATGAAATTCTTATTCCATACCCAATGTACAAGATATATTCATATATATATAGTGCTACAATTATATCTATACAAGAGATATGTATCTAAAACACATGTGCTAATTCTGGTAACTGTGTAACTGTCTAACCATCTAACAAACTATCCAACTGTCTAACAGCTCGGCTTTATTGCTGAAACAGAATAGAGGCTGAGCTGCTATGCTTGGGCTTTGATGGCTGATGGCTTTGATGCAATGTCCTCAACATTCCCCGTCAAGCGCATGCGGTGAGTGGACTCCATAAGCTTGTCTTTGAGGTACAAAAATCTGGAGACAGAAAGAGGTTTAGTGAAGATGTCAGCCAACTGGTCAATAGTTGGAATATACTGAAGAACCAGCTTTTTAGCAAAAACTTGTTCTCGAACATAGTGGCAGTCTACTTCAATGTGTTTAGACCTGGAATGAAATACTGGATTGGAAGCCAACGCCATAGTAGAAATATTGTCACACCAGAGAGTAGGAGGCACAGGAGAGGCAATAGACAATTCAGTGAGGAGCATGCTAATCCAAGCCAACTCGGCAGCAGTATGGGCAAGAGAACGGTACTCGGCTTCAGTGGAAGAGCGAGAGACTGTGGCCTGCTTTTTGGCAGACCAAGACACCAAGTTACAACCCAAGAATATACAATAACCTGAGGTAGATTTTCGGTCTGAAACATCTCCAGCCCAGTTAGAATCAGAGTAGGCCTGAACATCAAACGAGCTGGGAGAGTAGGTCAGACCATGTCCAATAGTACCTTTAACAAAACGCAACAGTCGTTTAACTGCAGCAAAATGTCCAATGGTGGGAGCATGCATATGCTGGCAAGAGTGATTAACAGCCAAAGAAATATCTGGACGAGTTATGGTGAGGTATTGGAGAGCACCGACAAGGCTACGATAGAGAGCAGGATCAGAAAATGGAGCTGATGAATCAGGAGCAAAGGAAGGTTTAACTGAGATAGGTGATGGACAGGGTTTACAATCAGCTAAGCCTGCCTTACGAAGGATGTCCTCAGCATATTTCTGTTGGGACAAAACATAGCC